ACTCCATGTTTTGGCAAAGACTCTAGACTCAAGATGAGAGGCCCACCACCGAAACCCCAAATATCCTCCCAACTCCCTCCGTAAGCGCATTGAAAGCCAAGCATTTTCTGGTTTCCAGGCGTTCACAGAGGTGAGAAGGGAAACAACCCAATCTGATCCTCTCAAAGTGCTTCGTCTATGTCCAGACGAAAACGCATCCATCAGCCTTGTATCCGCCGACGTGCGGGTCATGACAATGCTTTTCATCCTTCCACAGTCTGTGACGATTTTGACAGCGATCTAAAATAGGGGCTGGAGTTCATCCTCAATCTCACCCCCCCTCCCACCTCACGAGAATCATCGGCTGCCAAGAATTAGACGTAGGCAATGCCAATTTGGCAACCCTCCGACATGGTTCCCTCCTCTGCAAACCATGCCCGTTCGAATGTGCAAAAGCTCTCAACTAAGAGGTTTTCCCGGGGGGTCGTCAGCTCACCTCCATTCCACATCCCCTCGACAGATGATTCGCATCATCTCCGTTTTAGTAACCCCTTCAACATCCCGAATTCGTCTGCCTAGTATTTCTCCGTGTGGCCCTACGATTGTTCACTAACGCTACCTTACGCCTAGATCCTGCGCATGTTGGCACCGTTGGCATCAGGCAGCACTTTACCTTCTTCTAGAACCCAAAATGCATCTCTTTCCACCATATCTACAGGAAGACCACCTTCAGGACACTAGCATGGATTTAGTCTGCCCAACTCCATGGATACCTGCCTTGACTCTCCATATCGTACATCTAGGCAGCAATTTATCCGTACCTCTTTCTAGTAACCCCTCCATCTCGTTCCTACCCCCCCTCTGACAGGAAGACTTTGCTCCATGCTTGAGAAAGACCATGTTTCTTACAGGTAAATTGCAGCTGTAAGGATCCCAGTCTACCCAAGCTCTACGTGCATCATAAACGGGCCGAAGCAATCCAACCTCAAGGTGAAGATGACCCCCTAAAGGATCAGGGCGTCTTCATAGCACAGGTGCTTCCATGGAACCAAAAAGCAACAGCAACCTGATGTATCTGTTGGTCCGATCTACTCACGTACCGAGATGTACGATGCCCCGAAAAAAGGCATAGTCTGGTCACTTTCTTCCTCGCCGCAACGGCTCGGAGCAGCCTACAACGGGGAAAGAGCACGCGAGCATACATGCGCACTGCCAAAGTAGCAACCATTGCTAGTCGCATGCTGAAAGAGGGGCTTAAGCGAGCCTGAGCGATCTCGAGATCCCTTTCCGCCTTGAGGTGAGTAACCAAATTATCTCAACTTATACTATTAGCTACATACCTTAGTACTGAGACGAGTAGAACTAGGTCATGGCGATCGCGAAAGCGAGATGTTCATGAGCATATTCAGATCACACGAAGTGTGGGTAAGTAGGCGTAAGCGATACCTCAATGAAGGCAAGTATCCAGCCTTTCACATGTAACAATCCATCGACGGGGCCATTTCTACGTTTACTTCAATAAAGCACTCTGCAGTCAGCGAGGATCGTCTAGAACGAGTCTCTATGCCATCTAGGAATACCCTCCCGTCTCTCATGTCCCAGGCCGATGCAACCGTATATGTCATGCAATCCTTCCCTCTGCCTCCCCAACTCTAGGACAAAGCCCCCCTCTTCCAACGCCTTAGCAAACGCACACTCTTTCTCCATGTATTCCTCGCCATCTACATCTAGCTCTAGCTCTAAACCGTCAAGCTCTGAGCAAACTCAAACCCCTCTCTACAGACTACAACCTCCCCGAACCAGGCGGCATCCGAATCCCCATCGCCGCGGCGCCCCCAGGTCCAGGGACCCTCGCAGCAACCTCGTCCACACGCCCCTTTTGCAGACTGAACCCGGGTGTGACCCACCCGCCGCAGCTGCACCGGAATCCCCGCCAGCTATACCTCCCCACGGCGGCACCGCACTTCTGGTTCGGGCACGACAGCCGTCCCTCCAGCGTCCCCTTCTCCAGCTCCTCCCTCATCCACCCCAGCGGCTCCACAAAGACGTGTCCGCACGGCTGCTGTTTCTGCCGCTGATCCCTAGGCGCATCGGGCTCGTGATCGAGTACGAACCGCGGCGTAGCCAGCGTCTTGCGACACTTCTTGCACCGCACCTCCATACCCTTAACGCTCTCCGCCTCTTCTTTGCTCGTCTCCTCGTCCTCGAACCGTAGCTTCGTCGGTGCCTGGCCCGCGGCAAGGCTCTCGTCAATCTCCCTCTGGAACTCCCACCGCTTGTAAATCGGGTGCGACGCCACGTCGTCGGGGCAGCCCATGATCCACCACATCTCGAGTTGCTTCATGAAGCCCGGATTCGGCTCCGCAATTTCCCGGGTGTTGCGAACCCACTTCACGGCGGCGGCGACGACGGCTGCAGCTCCCTCTCGCGCTGCCGCGGCTTCCTCAGCGGACTTGGGCGTTCCTCCTGATGCTCCGTTCTGCGCGGCGGCCGTCGAAGCCGTGGACCTGCCGAAGCGGGAGGGATGTTTCCAAAGGAGGTAAGCGACGATGGCAGAGACGGAGCGGGACTTGCCCATGGCGCAGTGGACGTAGACGCCACCTGGGGTGTTGGGGTCCGGCTTTACCGCGTCAGAGCTGAGGTCCAGCTTCTCGAACAGGGGGGCGGGGAGGATGGCATCCGGATCCGTGGGCTTCGCCTCCGCCGCCGCCGCCGCTTTAGCCGAGGCAGTCTCCGTCTCAGGCTCAGACTCGGCCTCCAAATCCTTGGCCACAGCCGCCTTCAAGCGTTTGGCCTTTCCCTCGAAGCCTTTGTCCTTCTGGGCCTCCTCTTTAGGTCCGTCCGTGGCGCTCTTCTTGCCGCCGCCGGGGCACAGCGCATCCTCGATGAAACGAACAGCCTTGGGCAGGTGAACGAGCAGGTCCTCATCCTCGACATCGTCAATGTCGATGACCATGTGCTTGTAGCTCTTTCCGTAGTTCTCCCAGGTGTCGGTCTCGCTCTTCAAACCGGCCGGGTCAAATCGTAGCACGGAGAGAATATGGGTGATGTTGCGCTCCTTCAGTGCTGAAGGGCGGCGCAAAGCCCATATGCTGGTGAATGACGTTAGTGAACCTCATAGTGAAGATGACGAAGAAGAGAATATGTCTCACCCGCCGACATAGAGCTCCTCCTTGCCATCGATACGGTTCATGGCCATTTCGACGCAGCTCTTCTTCAAAAGTCGGTGTAACGCTTCAGTTTCCGCGCTCCCTTCAGGCTCGCCTGTGTAGATTTCTAACGTGTTGGTTGGTGCTTGTTTTTCTGTGCTGCGAGGTAGCACCTGCGCCGCGTCCTGCAGAGCTGTTCTGGTCGTGGTCGTGGTCGTGGCCGTGGCTGTCAAGCTTGACTCGATCTCTTTCAATCGCTTCGTCACGTCCTCGGTTGAGACCTGGCCACGAACCATGCGGATAGCTTTGTCGATGAAGGATTCAAAGGGCAGCTTGGCATAAGATACATGAGCGTAGTATGGTAGCACATGAAGGTGTAAGTTTCCCTGCTGTCAACGGGCGTAGTGTAACCAGGGAAAAGGGAGAAGGGGGGAAAGAGGGAGTCAATATCGGTGTCCCAAGCCCAAGAGCTACCAGAATGAGAGACCCCTCTCGCGTGCCAATCTCGGGATGCGACGAACGCTGGTGGTAGCGGTTGGGTGGTGGTGACGGGAATGACGCAGTTGTGCCTGTGGCTCGGCCTGAAGTTGCTCTAGCTTTGTTTCCCAAAATACTGCCGTTGCCGAAAAGAGCCAAGCCTCCACCTTTGTTTTCGTCGCCTCAGTCGTTGCGTTGTAAGTACCCTCTACCCTCGTGCTCTTGGCTTCTGCCACTCGGCCGTGTGGTGGAGAGAAATGTCCGGCGTCCTGTCCACTTCCATACCATAGGTTCCCCCCGCCTCATTCGCCCCTCACCCCTCAGGGCACATTCCCATCCCTACAAATACATAGGTACCAGGTATTACTAAGGACTGAAGAAGGCCATGCGACACCGCCACATCTCTGTGGCTCGTAGGGCTGAGATCATGTGACCTTCTGACAACCGGCGGCCTCACTGCGGCATGCCGAATTACCGTTGATGAAGCCTTATGGCGACTTGGCGTTTGCACAGAGCAAGGTACCGGAGCACATGTTTGTTTCTTGATCAACAGACACCAACATGGGGTACTCCATAGCTTCTCGTAAGATAGCCAGCTGTGGATCTGATCAAGTTTCCATTGACTGCTTGACTGACTGACTGCTCCTTGATCCCATCGTGTCGATGTGCAAACCAAGAACTCGACCACATACTACGAGGAAGCACATCCATGGCAGAGAAAAATCATGGACGGAACAGTGATTTGTTGAAGATTTGTTTTACTTTTTATTCTTTTCTCACTCTTGTCCAACCTGTGTGCCCTGACCCTACAAAATACATTGCTAGCTTGAAGTCCTCAGTCTTGCTGTAGGATGTGCTGCATCTCTTCTAATACCAATATCATTTCATCGTATCACCTCTCCACCACTGGCCGGCCCGATAATGCCTGGTATTTCCTCCAAATGGAATGCGCGCAACAGACAGCCTGCAGCTATGTTTCTGGTGCCTGAAAGCCCCTCATGGCAACCACCTATACTCCAAGGGCACCAAAATATGGGTGCTTCCAAATGGCCAGCCCCATCAACCCCATGAATGCTGCCCATATGCTTCAACAAAATGCTTTTGGTTTTTCTCTTTTGTACTGCTCATGGTGCCGGTAAAACAAATTGCTGACCAGACCGTGGCGTGGGGGTTTTCTCGACATGTCCCACTCGGCCTTGTGCGTCAGCGGCCATCTTCGGCTTGACTGCTTGTCCAGTCTCGAATCGTTCGCTCGCATTCGGTGTATTAATTGGATGCAACCGATTCATGTCGCGCTGTGCGGTCCAGAGACTTGCGTCCAGCAAATGGCCGGTCGACCATGTCATGGTCCCCAACGAGTCATCGATAAGTAAGACTTGAGAACTCGGCTTATGCTCATCTCGGAGTGGGATCTTCATCCAACATGCAGGCATTCTCCAGCATGTTCGTCCATTTGCCGCTCGTACCTGCATGGCTGTGCTTCAAATGCTGCCGGAAGTGGTCTGCGCGGAAGAATTTCTTGCTGCTGTTGCATTCCCTAAATTTGTGGACTTCTTGGAGGTGGCGAATGCGCTCTTCCCAGTCCTGGTCGGTAGCGTGTCGCGGGGCAGAAGCACCGGGGCCTCTCCCGTTCCTGGGGAACTCCTCGCCGCAGTAACCACAAGAGTCTGCTTCACCGGGGCGGTTGGTACTGTCGTGGAAAGCACGATCATAGCCATTCAAGGCCGAGCAACTCCAGCTGTGTCTGCGAACGTGAAGACTGTTCTGGTGGCGTTCTGCCTCGTTCTTGTTCTTGAATCGATTTCCGCAGAATGAGCATTCATACTGCTTCTCGGCTTCATGAGACCTGTTGACGATTAGCTAAAAACTTTCATGATAGTTGCGGGGTCGATACTTACGCCAACTCTTCAGCCGACTCGAACTTCTTGGGTTTCTTCGGGCAACAATCGCACATGAAGAATCCCGAAATCTTGGTTCCACCAGGCTTGCTCACTTCCGTAAGCTTGCGGGGAGAAGCGAGAGGCCGGCTTTCGCTAATAGTCCGCTGATGGGGTGCCCTAGAAAGGGAGCCGCGAGGCGAGGGGTTGAGCGACATTGATGCACTGTAGGGAGAGCTGCAGCTGGGATCGGTTCCGCCGGGCGAAATTCCACCTGGGGAAAGGCCGCCTGGAGAGACTCGGCCAAACGACGACGAGCCCATGCTGACAATGCTCCCGGTGAGCAGTGATAGGTTAGAGCTGTAAGACCCTGCGCGACCAGATGAGGAAGAGATGGATCCTTGAGGGATGACACTTAGTCGAGGCGTGGGAGATCCTCTTTGGTTTCCATCGCGGCGGCGTAGCAAGTCACCCTGGGTTGTGAAGCCAAGTGGTACGCTGTCGTCGGGATCGGCAGATGCACGGCGCTTCGCACCAGCGCCATCGTAATGCGCTCTCATGGGATCTTCTATCCGCAATCTCTTCATAGAATTGGTCTCTTCCATTTCCATCTCGTCCACTTCGTAACTGTGCGATGATGCATCGTCGCTGTTGTTCCTCCTTGTGCGAGTAGGTGGTGACCTGTCGAGATCTGAGACAGACCGAGGGGACCTATACTCCTGGCCGAGGTGGTATGGCTGGCTTCTAGGGGAAGGTGACAGGGCAGAGTGAGGAGTCTGCGTGTACCTGTCGGGAGAGTCTAGTAGGTTTGATGTCTTGAGATGCAACGGAAGACTGGTGGGCACGGAAAGTGGCGGTACGCGCATGTCCCCAGACAGCCTCCTCGAGAAAGGGTCGCTAGTTGATGATGTGCTTGACGCACTGAGGAGTGAGCCAGGCGGCTTGTTGTCGAACGTCTTCAAGGGAGCGAGCTTCTTCTTCATGTCGGTAAAGGCGTCGGCGCCGGACTGGAACTGGAACTGGTTGTGGTGCAAACCAAACCCGGCCGAGATGCTAGGCAGAGAACATTCAGACCTATCAAGGTAGAAATGTTAGATGGACACTCAAATCTCAATATTCTCAAGGCTTCTTCTTCTAGAACCAAACTAGGCCCATTGAAGGGTTGGGGATTTCCTACCTTGTGGAAGCCGAAGCTGAGGACGAACCCATGCTGGCATAACCCTCATCGTGCCTATAACCGGACCTCATGTAGTGTGGCCTATCATCCAAACTTCCTAGGCTATCGTGATAGCTGTGTTCTCTGGGACTGTATGATGAGGGATCGCGGTAGTGTTGTCTGGGTTCCTGTTGATGCATGTGAGGGTCGTCGAAGGGGAGTCGTGGTGGTGGTAAGGGCGGCGGTGCGTTGATTCTGTCTCCTGAACCTGGAATGGCAACAGAGGAGGAATAATTGCTAGAGTCGAATCGGTCTGAGCCTCTTGGGTTCGAGTCTATAAAGATGCTGGGAAGACCCGCAGGCTCCCTGTATCTCGAAGGTGCCTCCATGATGTCGGCTTGTATCTGTGCAGTTGCCGGCTGAGGATTTGACAATTCCAGCTGAAGCGGCGCCACTAAGGTTTATAGTGACGGAAGCACGGGCGTCATGAGTGATGGGCCGGGAAATATCTAGTGTCCTGATCGCGGTGGAATACGAGAAGCGTCCGAGGCCAAGGCGGTCGTCTTGGAGGCCGTGGGTGGCGATGGCAGTCGGGTTCGCCGTTGGTTGAGAACGGGGGCCAATGCAAGCCGAGAATGACTGTCTCTGTCGGTCTCTCTCTTGCGTCACGCAGCGGTCGGGGCCGAGAGAAGACTGAAAAAGGAAAGACAAGACTAGACGGAATCGAGCAAGGCGGCGCGAGTCGTAACGAAGAAGAAGGAAAAGGAGCAGACGTCGACGTGGTTGGACTAGATGTACAATTGTTGAGTCCGGCGGTCTAATCGCGGGACAAGCAGAAACAGGTCAGGTCCGGACGGCGTCGAGGAATGCGAGGAGCAAATGTTGTCGGAGGAAGCAGAGTGGCCGGAGCTGGGGTGGGTAGAGTTTAGATCCGTAAGTCAGGTCAGGTCGTGGGGGGGAGACGACAGCTGAAATAAGAGGCGATTGTGTGACGACGCCAGCTGCTGTATAAATAAAAATAAAATAAAATCGACACCCCCAGGTATGGCAAGGCGAAAGAGGCGACTAGTACTTATGAAAAAAGGCGGGAGAATGAGTCGAGTGGAGGAGACGGACCTGGTCAAGGAGAGAAGAGGAGAAGGGGGGTGGATTGGCAGCCCAGGGAAGCTGTCGGCAGCGTCAAGCGAAGCTCAGCGGCAGCAGTAGCGGTATCCGTAGGTAGCGGTATTCGTAGCGGTAGCGGCCCAGGGACCCAGATGGAGGCATATCCAAACCTCCAACTTCGGCGTAACGTGGATTGGAGAAGAAGCCCCCCCAGGTGGTTCCTTTTTACCCCCAGCAGGGGCAGTAGCAGGGGATACTGAGGAGAGACGGAGGGCAGCCCAGGCAGAGAGACTGGACTGAGAGAGAATACCTGATACCCTAGCCTAGCACGCCTATTGTGTACGGATACACTAGGTCCTGAGGTATCCGTAGCCCAGGGCCTTACAGGGCAGGGAAGAAGAGGAGGAAGGCCGAATGGAAGGACAAGGGAGGGGAGGGGGGGTACAGATATGGGAGAAGGTGATGGGAATGATTTGATGGGTGAAGGAGGGAGTGTCAAAGGGGAGGGGTGGTAATGAGGGGGGGGGGTGAATCTCTCTCTCTGTCTTTGGACGGGTAGAGTAGCGGGACGCTTGTTCGGCGAGCAGCCCTAAGAGGAATAGGATGCGGATGGGGACTGGCTAGTCATACACCAGGGAGCCACGAGTACCTACGACGGTGGGCGTGTGGCTGTTTATTGTAGCCCGTTGTGTTAGTCCCATGCAAGCACATAAGCAGCAATGCAGCCCTGTCTGTCAACTTCTTGTCGCCCTTTCTTCTTTGGTGCGTCGGGGTGTGGGTAGTAGCTAAGGTAAGGTAGGCAAAGTGGTGTAGACTAGGTATTTGTAGTGGTAATGGTAATGGCTGTAGGGGAGGGGGTTGTTGCTCGGATCGAGCGTTCGAGGGGGAAGGGAAGAGAGGAGGATGGCTGGGGACGGAGAGTCATGGGGGTGACGGAATGAGGTGCGTTGATGTTGATGCGACCAAGGCCACCCAGGCGATATAAGCATAGATAGGTAGGTCAAGGTGTGTATGTGTGTGTACTGCGTATGTGTGTGTGTGTGGTGTGTATGCCGTGCTGTTAGTAGCCGCGTGCGTGGGCTACCTTGAATGGGCAAGGTGAGGCGATGGATCTAGAAGGCTCAAGGAAGCATCCGAGTCGGGTCGAGTCGTTGGAGGAATCGGAGTGCATCAAGGACGGCGGGGTGAGGAATGTAGTAATTTGTCTTCCTTGACGATATTCGGAGAGGTGTGGGTAATAAGACGGCGGTGATGGCGTGCGGCGTGCGGTGTGCGGCGTGCCGTAGAGTCTAGACGGCGTCCGGGTCGTGTTCTTTGCCCGGTGCTAGTCTCCTGACATACGTAGACGGGATTCGTAGGTAATCAATAGTAATATGCCTTATGAGCCAAGGGAAACCACACGTCTGGGTCCGTCCGGACGAGGACTGGGGCAGCGCAACAATGGAATGAAGAACAAAAGAAGTCGAGAATGGGATTGTGTCCGGGCGGGTTTTCAGGTGTCGCGACGGCGCCTCGCTCGATTCAGCAGAGACCTGGAGGCACCTGAGGAAGAATCAGCACAGTACACAAAAGGTACAAGGCGTAGGTGAAGACCTAAGGTAGGGATCCTTTGAGATAGAGAGAGGCTTGAGGAAGGTTGCTTCAACGCTCGTCCCGTGCGCGAGATGGAATGGCGTGTGAAGAAGGACCAAGGCGGGAATGCAGCGAATTTGAGGTTTCGTGGCCCCCGACTGATGAGATGGAAGTTGGAAATCATCCCGAAGCCGAGGACGATGACCAAGCAAGGTCAGGTAGTCATGTAGGTAAGGTAGTGTGAGCTGTTGGAGCATTTTCATTCCCATGTTTGCTACCTGCCTGCATGGTTACTGCTGGGCCATGTCATAGGTAGGTGAGGTAGGAAGGTAAGTAAGGTAGGCACGGTTAGGTAGGTACCTTCCATACGAATAGACACGAAGAATTACACGCATCACCTCAAAGGAAAAAAGGGCAGGCAGACGTGCTGCTGCCTCTTGCTCTCCTCATCGTTGCATGTCTGTCTACCTTTCCTTTCTCCTTCCCCAAAAAACGCAAATTCCCGTTGACGAAGCCACATGTATCACAAAGTGGGTAAGGTACCTAAGTAGGAGTGAGAAATATCCGCAAGGCAGGAACGATGCCCATCGACGATGGAATAGGTGCCACACGAAGTGACGAGGCAGGTACCTACGATATCTTGAATACCTTGGGCCTTACTTTCATTCCCTTGGGTAGGTAGGTAGGTAGGCACGTAGGTGAGGCAGGTACTTCATACGGACACAGCAGGCACGAACATTCTGGTTGGCGCCAAGGCCAAGGCGGAACTGGAGGAGTCAGGAAAAGCAAGAGGGGAAATGATGCGAAACGGGACTTTGGTAGATTTGCATCTCGCTTTTGCAACTTGCAGCTTTTGGGCTTGACTTAAGAAAGCTACCTAAAACTAAGGCACAGTTGAGTTGCCCGAGTTGCCTGCCTACCTTACCTTAGGTACCTAGAATAGGTCCTAGGTAAGCAAGGTAAGGTCGGGTTTGTATGGGGTCTGATGCTGAGCTTATGCTGATGCTGATGATGATGCAAAAGAGGAAATGGATGACCTTGCCGTGCCTGCCTCACTGTAGGCATAGAAGAAACAGACAAAGTGCATATTTCTACGGAGTAGGTAGTCTCACAGGCATCTTGATGCATCGGGTTGAAGGATCTCGCAATGGTCTCTTGGGCTCTTGAATAAGTGCTTAGATAAGCTGGGTGGGGTTTTCAAAATCCATACCTACTCCACCTCATACACAGTACTATGTTGCCCATCTCACCCAACCTAAGGTAAGAAAAGATGAACTGGCTAATTGACATCAACCGCAAGGTAAGGTAAGAAACGTACCGCATTGCGCCACCTGCTTGTGGTGCATCACAGGCTCACGTCGTGATTCCGTCCGTCTCTCCGTTGAAAAGAGGAATGTGCGGGTAGAGTGCTTGGAAGATGCAAGTTCAAGGCGACACAGGGCAGAGCAGGGCAGAAAGCGGGTTCCGTTGAATCATTCCATTTGCTGCGCGCTCCCGATGCGTCCCTCCCGCGGTCCAGTGTCGTGGCTGCAAAGATCAGGGGTATCTGATCGGGGTTAGCGCGGGTCCACGACGACGGGGTAGCACCGCACCGTGGCCCGTGGGAGAGGAGAGAGAGCAGACAAGGCCGGTAGGTGCAAGGGTCTCGCAGGGCAAGGGCCACGACTCTCTCGACCTTCCCGTGGTGCCTTCCTTCCATAAGGTACGGATATCCCAATTCTCACCTCAAAGTCCCGTCCAATGCCCACCTCAAGTCAAGTCTCTCGAGATACAATCCTGACCTTCTATTGTGTTTACCTTACCTTAGTTGACTCGTTTCCTTTGCAACCAGGAAGCACATTACGTGTGCAGATGAAATCCACCGTAGGTACCTCAGGTGAGTTATCTTCAGTTTCATTTCCTCATGTTCTTCCGTCATGTTATTACCTCGTAACCCATCGTATACTCGGGCAGAGTATCACAGTTGCGCTTCCTCCTACCCTACAGCAAAACGGTTACACTTCTCCTTCTCCTCCTTCTTCTCCTTCTTGTATTGCTGTCAATGTCTTGTCAACTTATGACAGACGAATAGGAGGTACTCCTACCCGCAGAGGCCTTCTCTGCATCCGTTCGGATAGAGCGTCAGTGTGTGGTATTTGGATGGATCAAGTTTAGAGACAGGGGCTGCTCGGTAAGGCAAGGAGGAGGAAGGAGAAGAAGAAGATTGAGCGGAAGGAAGGCCATGAGGGCGTGGGGAAGAAACTTGGGACCGGGGGGAGGGGGGTCGGAAAAGGGTGAGCACTTGGAGGAGGATCATGTTCTCTGCCCAGGCATACAGACCTGAGGGCATGCACGAAGCGGATGCGTCTTATAATCACCCCCTAGACGTGCAGCAGAG